GGTGAAAAAGGAAAAAATAAAATCTTTGAAAAACAAATGCTGTTTCTAAACAGGGAACACACTGGCTAATACTTTAAGATAATTAAAAGAGGGATTGACCTCCATTGGGTCAGGGAGAATGTTGCTTATTTGACAAGATCTCTATGCTGGATCCTCTATAAGAGAAAAAAGTGACTGATGAGAAAAACTTGTAATATTTCTGCATGTAATGAGCAAAGAGAGAATCTTAAGATAATTTTAAATTATGATGGTGTTTTTTGGTTAGCACATATACAATTTTTATTGCATTACTATGAAAAATTTCATGAAACCTGTTATATTTTTAAAATGTGATTTTAATATAGGTTTTTTATCACTAAAGAATTATACTCTTTGCATGGTATGCGTGTATTTCCTATTTTGGTCACATTTACTAGGCACAATGGCATATGAACAATTTTTAGTACTCACAGTGATCTCAAGAGTCCAGAGGAGGTGGTGGATGGGATGTGGGATAACAGCAGTGCCTAATAGAAGTGGTTCAACATTCATTGTTTTGCCCAACATTTGTTAAACACTACTGTGTATTGTGCATTACTTTAGGCATTTGGAATACAAATGTGATAAGACACAGCCCTTAGTATAAAGGACCTTCGTTCTAACAACATACCTGTATATATACACACATAGAAACAAAAACACATGCCGAAATTATTAAATCTTGTTTTAGTACAACGTGGACCATCGGCAGATTATGTAGAGGATATAGGAGGGACACAGAGTAGTCAGTCATTCTACTGGGGTTTTGAGTCGAAGAGTCAGCTAAGATGTCTAGATGAGATTCTAAAAATATATGTTTTCCGAGTTTTAAACAGATGGCTTTGTTTAATTACCTAATGTGCTTTAGATGGCATGATAGTACTCCAGTGGGAGCTCATGGCTTATGTTGTTTGCATAATTCTTGTCATTTTTAACATCATTCTATTAGTTTCTTAGGGCTGCCATAACAAAGTACCACAAAATAAGTGGCTTCAAACAACAGAAATGTATTATTTCACAGTTCTGGAGGCCAGAAGTCCAAAACCAAGGTGTTGGCAGGGCCATGCTCTTTGAAGGCTCTGGGGTGAACCTGTTCTGCGCCTTGCTCTTAGCTTCTGGTGTTGCCATTCATCCTTGGTGCTCCTTCGGTTGTAGATGCGTCATCACTGCGGTCTCTAACTCCATCTTCACACGGCCATCTCCCCTGTGTCTTTCTTCTTATAAGGATTTCAGTCATATCAGATGAGTGTCCTTGGGGCCTGCCCGGTGGCACAGCAGTTGAGTTCGCACATTCCATTTTGGCGGCCTGGGGTTCACTGGTTCGGATCACGGATGTGGACGTGGCACCGTTTGGCAAGCCATGCTGTGGTAGGTGTCCCATATAGAAAGTAGAGGAAGATGGGCACGGATGTTAGCTCAGGGCCAGTCTTCCTCAGAAAAAGAGGAGGGTTGGCAGCAGTTAGCCCAGGGCTGATCTTCCTCAAAAAAAAAAAGAGATGAGTGTCCACCCTAGTGACCTCATCTTACTTGATTACATCTGCAAAGACCCTAGTATTTCCAAATAAGGTCGTGTTTCTAACTGGTGCTTAGGACTTCAACTTATATTTTTTTTAGCAGGGGCACAATTCAATCTGTGACAATCGTTTAATTACATTTGTACTGTGCCATGTCAATATAGTTATTTAAATGCTTTTTTATGATGTGAGGTTAACAAAGCCCTGGTTGCATTAATAATGTTAAGTATTTGTAGTTCATTAAGTGAGCCTTTGGAGTTTGGGTGAATTTCTTCCAGAGACCAGAAGGGTGAAGCACAGATTGTGGAGCTTTAGGAGCTCAACAGAAAAAAAGACTAAAAGTTTTGCTACTTGTTTGTTAAGAACAGTGATTTGTTATTCAGGTGCTGTTTTGACTTAAAACTTTTTAGTGAATATTTGTAATAGTTAATTTTCAGTCATTAGAGATATTTTACTAGTTAGCCATCTTAAATAATTAAATTTGCATTCATCTTCAAAGTCAAAATTACCTTCTTCACTGCTCTGGTACACGTATGAAACTTCCTGTTTTTTCCTAAGATGTAATGACTGTGACTCACGACATTATGGAATAGATTATGTTTTAAAATTGCTTAAGCCAGTAATGATTGACTACCAATGGCTTTTTAAAAAAATTACTGTTAATCTTCGTTTCAAGTATGGCAGATTTTTATTAGAAAGCTTAATACTTAAATACATTTCTGAGTAGTGTTCTGATATTAAATCTCACAAAAAATATTTCTCCACTTGGAATTTTTTTCTATTGCTTTAACATTAGAGGTTTTTTTTTCAGTTAATCAAGACTATTTCTTCGCATATTTTTTGCAGTGTAGAGAAGATACCCTTCAAAATGGAGTCATTTGATTCTTTATTGTTTTAATAGCACATAGCTGCTGTAAAGGCATCCATACTAGCCATACCATAAAATTAATGCATAAATAGCTTTGGGGGCAATTATCCATAAACCATAGAGAACTTATATACTTCATAATAGTCGTAATTTCTATATACACACATACCATAGACCATAGTGCTTGCACACATTGTACAATGGCAAATACCAAAGAGAGCAGGCAAAGAATGAAAGTTGGCAGCCTTACTCTTACACTTGTTCTAAGTGGATGTAGGGGAAATAAGTAGCTTAATGAAAATAATATGGATAAACTCTACCTGTCAATAGTAAATGCCACATCTTTCTCTTAAGGTGTAGGTGGTGCCCCTAGAATAATCCTAGTGAAGAAAATACAAAATCTTTGTATAAAAAAGTGCACGTTTGTCCTATGTCTACAAACCTTTTCCTCCAGATGCATTTGTATCCAAAACAATTCACACTACTTGAATACATTGAAAGAGTTCAAAAGCACGCCAACATACACATAGACACACACCTAAAACCAGAGGAATGCTTTCCGATGAGATTGAGAATGAGGATAAGAAGTAAAGGAGAGAGTCTCCTATGTTACTGGAGTCAGTGAGATGAACTGCATTTTCAAACATAAATTATCTCTATTTTGAATTAGTTTCTAAACATATGCTATAGGATGGACACACACCAATGTGAAAAGCTGTCACAGAATTTCATAATTCAGGGACATAGCTTAAGTGCTTCATAATATGGAAAAAACTCCTAAAAACAGCCAATTGGTTTGATTTCTTAGAAGTTATAAAAAATGCATTTCAGAAGGTGATTTTTAACAATTAGCAACAGAAGAGGACATTAAGAAATAAAATACATGGGAACATAAGAACTGAAGTCCTTAGAAATACCAAAAGAGATGGAATCAGACTTCGCAGTAGAATTTAAAGAATGTGGTTAAAGGAAAAATTAACTGGAATCTTTGCCACAGGTTAAATATTTAACCACTTCAAACAGAAATGATTTAGTCCTCTCACGTATTTCTGAAATGTACTGTAACATGTAGTTTTCCATGTCAGGCATGTAATTTCATTAGCAAAAGTCCCTTTGTTTTAGCCTTAAAATCACCTCTGATCCACCAAAGTTTATGCTAACAATTACCAGACTACTATTTTAATAGCATTTAAATAGCGTTATGGAGGTTTAATTCATGTGCCATGAAGTTCATTTGAAAGTGCACAGTTGAGTGGTTTTTACTATGTTCACAGAGTTATGTAACCATCACCACAGTCTAATTGAGACTATTTTCATTACTCCAAAAAGAAATTCAGTAACCATTTGCAGTTCCTGGGGGCAACCACCAATCTACTTCTGTTTATATTTATGTTCATAACATTTTAAACTTGGAACATTATTGTTCTCGCGCCTATTCCAGGTCATTGGCTCAGAGGTTTAAAAGCTTTTAAACAAGCCAAATTTACAAGTCCTGTGGCATCCTCGCTCAGAAAATGTTCAAATGATCCTTTCACGATGTTATGATTGTTCCATCTTCTAAGAGTTTTTGATCTGGAACATGTGTTTCAAATTCTGTGTCTGTGCCACTTGCTAATGGTTCTAAACTCAATTAGAAGGAATAAAAACATTTTGTCTGGACTCAAAACTGAGTTTGTTCTATTTGTGTTAACCATTCTAGGCTTTCCGTAGTAGAAATAACTTTAGGAATTTCCTGCAGCATGCGTTGTCTTCAATAATAATGTCATCTTCATCACTGTCTTCATCCTTTGGCTCAGTGTTTGGTTCAGTCTGCCGTAGATAGCCAAGAAGGCTGTTATCGGTAAATTGGCTGGAGCTGCCGTAAGTCCTCCTGTTCCTAACAGTCTCCTGATTTATTTGTCTCACTGTTATGATGAGGTTGCAGCTGTTTGCAATCATCATGTCTGTTACTTGATCAAAACTCTTCCTGAAACTTCTATATCAACTCTAAAACCTCATCATTAACAGCCAATAGTCCTGTGCTGTGAGCCAGACCTCCTGGAACAAGCCAGGCTATAAAGATGCCTGGGACCTTCTCTAAGCCATGTGGTGTATCCCCTTAGGCTGAAACCATCCCAGCTATAAAGTTCTAGGCAATGTTCAGTCTTGTGTTTGTAAAGATGAACTAACCCTACCACGTATTTCTGGGAGAATGTCCACGTCTGTAATGGAAGACACAGGTCTAAAGTCTTGGGGCAACCAGTAACTGGATGTGGCTTTTTTCTGTGGTTGACAGAACACAATGCATTGATTAAAATGTTTTCCTTCTTCATTAGTGTGTCTTTATCAAAGGTACTATTGTCTGCTTCTTCCTTCTTTTGTATAAAAAGCCTAAGCAGTGGGTTGCCTGTTGAAACAGCTTTGTGGTAATTATCGTGATTATTTTTGTAAGATTGGCACCTGAGCTAACATCTGTGGCCAATCTTCTTTTTTCTTCTTCTTCTTCTTCTCCCCAAAGCCCTCCAGTACATAGTTGTAAATTCTAGCTGTAGGTCCTTCTGGCTCTGCTATGTGGGTCACCACCTCACTGTGGCCTGATGAGCGGTGCTAGGTCTGCGCCCAGGATCTGAACCAGCGAAACCCTGGGCCATCTAAGTGGAGTGTGCAAACTTGGCCCCTATCATGATTATTTATAGGGAGTCAGTCTCCCTGGATATCTGCATAGCCAAATAAAATGTCAACATTAAGTGTCTTATGAAAATGTTGCAGTCATCCATAAAACTCCTCAAAATGTGAACTTTTGCTCTTTCTAGCAAAAACTGACGAAACTCAGTGCCAAACCAACTCTTCACCCTTGGGATGCCCTGGCAGCCATGGTCATGCTGAGTGCGGGGCTGCCCCTCTGGAGTGCCAGAGGTGGTTTGGGTCTCAATGCTGAGCTCCACTGAGCTCCATAGGGCGGCTGGGGCGGCCTGGTGGTTGCCTGGCAGTGTGGCAGATGGAGACACAACTCCCTCCCATCCTCTGCTTTGGTGGCTGCAGGGCTCCTGTGGAGGATGAGAGGGCAACTAGCCCATCCACCTCCGTGCTCTCGGCTGCCTCCTCCACAACCGGGCTCCTGACTCAGGCCAGCAGCACCAACCTAAGAGACTTTAAGTGAAAATATTAAAGACATTTTGGAGAAAAAGATCACCTGTAATTCTGCCATCTTAACATAATTTTACCCATTTGTTAAAAATTACCTTCCAGGTCTTGTCCATGACTATATGTTTTCATGCAGTGGCAATCTAATTTGCATGCTATTCTATATCCTTTTCTCCATTAAAATGACCTTTATTCTATATATCTGACAACTTTTAATAATAAAAAACCTGGAGGAAATAGAAACTTTTGTTTTGTGTGCAGATACCAGGTAGGTGGGTTTTCTGTATTTTTCTCTCCCCTCCAATCCCCTACATTCCAACATTATCGCTAGATTAGAGGTCAATCCCCTCTCCTTGGCACCTGCCCATGGCTATCTTTACCTACTTGACTAGGCTATATATATAATATATATGTATATATTTATATGCTGTGTGTGGATGTGTGTATTCGTGTATATGTATATTTTAAACACAACATCTCACCATCTTGAAATCTTCCATACCCCTCATACAAACATGTACCACTGCTTGCTAATTCTTTCTGTGCCAGTGTTGGCTACCATGGTGCCATTTTTCCCAACCACTGTTCCTCCTCGAGATCCCTGACTGCCTACCCTGTTTATGTCAGAGCTTTCTTTGACATCTTTCTCTCTGGGCCTTCTTACCTTTCTCCTTACCCAGTACAAAGCCTGAATGTGCTTTCACAAAGAAACCTTAAATTATCTCAGCATACTTTATTGCACTCAGACCTTTTTACATCCAAAGACTTTTTACCACTCTTCTCCAGTATTAATACCCCGTTTTCTTCTGTATTCACAATTCCTGTGCTCCATATATACTTATTTTCTAAATATCGTCTTCCCCACTTTGATTTCACTTAAATTCTTTTTTTAAAAAATCCTCTCCCATCGTTTTCTTTTGGTGCCTTCCTTCAATCCCAAAGTTTCTGTTTTTTGTCAGTCATCTTTCTCCCTTTTACTCTTAACCTCCCTGGTAATTGTTTTCTCACCCTTCTCCAAAAGCTCACACTCGGATATGTATATTGTGTTCGCTTGAATGCTTCGGAATAAATATCTGCCTTTCAAAACGGTGCAATCTAAACTATTAGCATGGAAATAACCCCTGGGAAGATGAGGTCTCCACTTGAAAGCTTCAAATAGAGATGCTCCTGCTAGTGTTGAATGATGGAGTTTTATCTAATATCATCTGGGTGAAATGGGGTGACTACTTGAACCACTCAAAATGTCCACTATTGTGAAATGAGAATAAATTGTCAATTTTACACTTCTATCTAGTCCATGCTGAAGTTCTTTCCAGGGATGGGAGGAACTCATAATCTACAAAGCAACCCAGTCCGTTTTGTACCACTGTTGATTGTTATAACCGTTCATCCTTGTATTGGGTTAAAATCTACTGGCTATACTTATATTCATTGGCTCTAATTCTGCTCTCATGCTACACAGAATTTGGATCCTTTCTCTACATGACAGCCTTTTAGATATCTAAAGGTAGTTATTCTATCCTCTACACCTCTTTCTGCACAATTTTTTTTTCCCTTTGAGATAAACACTCTCAACTCTTCCACTATTCCTCATAGGACACCATTTTCATCATCCCAATTACTCTCTGTGGACATTACACATTGTTAATGTCTCTTCTAAAATGTGATCAGAACTGAAAATAATATTCACTATGTAGCTGCATTGGATCTGGATGTGGCACATCTGGACATTAGTGCAGACTGAAGTTGCTTTAAGTTTTTTAGCAGCCATATAATGTTGACGCATGATGAATTTGTAATTAAAATCCCCAGATTTTAGGAGGTTTGCCTTCACGACTTCTTTCTAAACCCAGATTGCATCTTTCTTTAGTTGTGCAAGAGATTTTTCAAGTCAGAATCTAAGACTTTACACATATCCCTATTAAATTTTATCTCATAACCTATCAGCCAGCCGTGGGTTCTTTGAATCTTAATTTTTGTCATCCAGCTTATGTTGATTCAACAAGAGGTTTTGAAGCTAGTGTTAGAATGTTTTCAGACATCTGGGAAACAACCAAAAGTCATGGAGACTGTCTTCCAAAAATTGTTGTATGCAGATATAACTCAGCTCTTAAGGTGTATATAAATTAATATTATTGTAAGTTGCCAAGGCCAGGAAAGGCTGAAGTCCATTGCCAGCCTGCAATTGTGTTGAACATTACTCCAAGAGAGATAATGTTCCAAAACATATTGGGCCAACGTAATGCCAAAAGAGCTGCTAATTCTTCTCGAGAAATCAATCAATACACATATGAAGTAGAGACAGAGTCATGGTGACCATTCTTTTATTTTACGTTTGACAAGCATATATTGAGCACAGTGGCAGGAAACAGTGGGAAATTGTGGAGAACCAGGTTTGCCTGGGGCAACCCTGATTTCTGCCTCTTGTCTTAGTGTAATTATTAGTTGTGTCATTTTTCTCTTTCACTTGTGTTCAGGTTCGGAGGATGAATTAGCTGGCCACCCTTCTCGTACCCAGTTCCTTTGAGCATTTTCATCTGGACTAGGTACTGCACGGCTATAATTTGGCAGCTCTAATGAGGCTGCAGTAGTGCTTCTGTTCTGTTTGAGCAGATGCTTCCTTGACCATGGGAAGTTGATAGCAAAAGTAACTGCAATTAAGGTCTACACGTAGTTAGTATTTTTTCTGCGCCACCCTCTAGAGGGCAGTATTACACACATCTGAAATGATCCAGTTCCAACAAAAAATGGACTCTGTTTATGCATGAAAATCAGAAACATTTGATGCTCTTAAAGAACACATTGAAACCAATATTGCAAATAAAACTTATCTTTTGCTAAGCAAACAAGTAAAGAAATATTAAGAATTCGTTAACATTCTGAACATTCAGTTTTTTTTAATTGTAAAAACTGGACTTTGATGCCTTGAATATACAATGATCCATTATAGCAATTGTACGTGGACGTTAAGAATCTGCGTATTTTTATGCTTCTTTCATTTTTTTCCTAATTAATGATTTTGTATGGTTAATAATTTTAATATATTCTCCATTGCATAGTTTCCATATTTATGTAAAATAAGCACTTAAAAATGAATAGTTGTGTTCATCCGGCTTAAATATTACTTGCTTCCAAAAGAGAAAACAAAAATGTTAGTTTTTACTTTATGACTTGAATCATGTAGTAATATAGAACTCTAGTATTTAGAATTAGAATGTTTCTTAGAGATTATGTAATTAATGTCATCAGTGGATAATTTGTTAGCTCCTAATATCAAAAGTATATTGCCTGTGTTTCACGTTTTGGATTTCCTAATGTAATGTTCTCTTTTTAGAAAAGGTGGACAAGTCCTATTTTCAAGAGAAGATGACTTTTAACAGTTTTGAAGGATCTAAAACTTGTGTACCTGCAGACATCGATAAGGATGAAGAATTTGTAGAAGAGTTTAATAGATTAAAAACTTTTGCTAATTTTCCAAGTAGTAGTCCTGTTTCAGCCTCAACACTAGCACGAGCTGGTTTTCTCTATACTGGTGAAGGGGACACTGTGCAGTGCTTTAGTTGTCACGCAGCAGTAGATAGATGGCAATATGGAGACTCAGCAGTTGGAAGACACAGGAAAGTATCCCCAAATTGCAGATTTATCAATGGCTTTTATTTTGAAAATAATGCTGCGCAACCTACAAATCCTGGTGTCCAGAATGGTCAGTACAAAGTTGAAAACTATCTGGGAAACAGAAATCATTTTGTTTTAGGCAGGCCATCTGAGACTCATGCAGAATACCTTTTGAGAACTGGACAGGTTGTAGACATATCAGATACCATATACCCGAGGAACCCTGCCATGTGTAGTGAAGAAGCTAGATTAAAGTCATTTCAAAATTGGCCAGACTATGCCCACTTAACCCCAGGAGAGTTAGCTAGTGCTGGACTCTACTACACAGGTATTGATGATCAAGTGCAGTGCTTTTGTTGTGGTGGAAAACTGAAAAACTGGGAACCTTGTGATCGTGCGTGGTCAGAACACAGGCGACACTTTCCTAATTGCTTCTTTGTTTTGGGCCGGAATGTTAATATTCGAAGTGAATCTGATGTCGTGAGTTCTGATAGGAATTTCTCAAATTCAACAAATCTTCCAAGAAATCCAGCCATGGCAGATTATGAAGCACGGATCATTACTTTTGGGACGTGGATATACTCAGTTAACAAGGAGCAGCTTGCAAGAGCTGGATTTTATGCTTTAGGTAAACTTTATTATAAAAGCAGGCTAATAAATAACTTTTCAGCTGTCCCAGGGCTCCTAAAAAGTAAATAGATTCCTTGAACCCCCTTGAACTGGTAAATATTTAGATGTAGGCTGGCATGATTATGTCAGTATTAGTCTGTGAACCCTTATGTTGAATATGTAATATAACCACTGAATTTAATGTGAAAAAGACTACCATATTAGGAATCATGTTTATATTCATGTAATTGCTTTTTGGAGAAGGGTGACATGCAAAAGATGATAGCTATCTCTGATAAAAGGATGGGTCTGATGGTAATACTAACTATAATTTATTGAGCACCTACTATTTGTGCTCAATACATACATTACATGCATTGTCTGTATGCCTCATAAGAAGAGTTAACATTAGAGAGTTTAGTTTGGCTGATATTAAAATTGATTAATTACCTTTTGTCCATAGACTATATATTTGAAAGCTGCCCTGTACAATGCCTTATTGCTTCAAATGAGCGCTTTTCAAATGGACTCTTATAGACATGCGGGAAGGACCATTAGTGTGATGGCTTCCAGGGATATTCAGAAATATCCCATTCTATATCTGACCTATATTCTTTAAGATTGAATCGTGCCAAAATACAAAACATCAGTTATTTCAATATTTTATTTACATAGTATCATATGGCAATCTTGGGGATTTGTTTAGTGTCATGTATCTATAACCTTAGAGAAACTTATCTTGTAACTTCGTTTTGCTGAACTATATTGTTAAAGTTTCACAGTTTGAAAAAATGTAGTATTGATGGCCCCAAATGACATACGTTAAAAAGAACATAACAGTCGTAATTTTTCACATAAAAATTGGGCAATTTTATTTTTGTCTTCTGTAAAATACCTCAAATTAAATCAGTGAAGTTAGTATGTATTTCCTTTTCAAGTGACTGTATCTATTACTTGGGTGTGAATATGAATGCCTATGAGATTTTCATGTAATTTAGAAATGCTTAATCTCATGGTGTTTAAACAGGGTATTTCTGTGTAAGCTTCTCATTACACATATACACCTGTTTGTACTTGTGTGTTTTCTTAGGTGAAGGTGATAAAGTGCAGTGCTTTCACTGTGGAGGAGGGCTAACTGATTGGAAGCCCAGTGAAGATCCTTGGGAACAACATGCTAAGTGGTATCCAGGGTAAGGGAAATGTTCATTCAGTTACAGGCAGGTTGGACGGTATGCAGTGGGAAGACTTAAGAACTTTTTGCCTCAACTATTTTTTGCCTTCAACATGGCTTGAAATTCACACCAGGTTTATAAAAATGGGGTCACCTACTTTATAGGAAATAAAAAAAAAGCACCTAAGCCTTCGCTGGTAATCAAAACATTCATTGCCTGTTTATCATATCTATGACATTCAGATGATTCCATTTCTAAACACCAAATTAGGAATGTATACTTTTGTTGTTCTTGGAAGTAGGCTCTGTCACAATGGGCACAAGAGAGCCCGTGTTGCCAAGGAGACTCCTTAAGAGCCCGTCAGACCCCCAGAAATATTACTGTGTCTCACCGATTCTGAGACACACAGTTGTTCACATGTTCCAGATCTCTGAAATCAGGACACATCTGGTGGTGGGTCATAATTTAATTGGCAGCGGTGGTACACAAAATAATCATGCTTCTTAACAATCAGTGGCATCTTAGAATGATGATGACATACTCTAAATGTCTTTTTGCCATCTTGCCTCTTTAAAGCACACAGATATATAAGTGATGTGAATTTTTGGCCTACAAAATAGTACAACTTACAACTTCAGAATAATCATTTGAAAATAAATCTTCACCTTAAACAATTGGAAAGATTGAAAGCCTAAAGAATTTCTTTAAAATGTACAGTTTGTTAATCCTCTGAATAAAATTTAAGATTAATTATTTAAAATTTTTTTTTAAAAAGTCAAAGTGCTAATTTAATAACTTGCTTAAAAGTTGAAAATTCTTAAGTTGGTATTTTTCGCTCTGCTAATATTAGCATAAGTAGCATAACAAAGGGAACATATTTTTTTAACCTTAAAATGACAGTTGAATAGGGAATTAACATTTTATTTTGCGGCTCCTTAGAAATAGTGAAAAGCAAGTTAATGGTATTAAGGTGATGGAGATTCTATCTTTACTTATGGTTCACTAATTTATCAGCTACTAACGTTTAACCTTCTTTTAATTATTAGGTGTAAATATCTGTTAGAAGAGAAGGGGCAGGAGTATATAAGCAATATTCATTTAACCTGTTCACTGGAGGAGTCTCTGGTAAGTCACACTGTAGAGTATATATTTTCAAATGTTATGTAATTTGTTTTGCAGTGATTTCTTAGTGTAAAATTCACAGTATCGTATTTTAAATTAATGATGTATGGTGAGCTTTAAAGGGGAGATCTTGAGGAGTGCTTGTTATTCTTGAAGCAAGTTTGTGAAAAGGGGATCAGGAGGTATCGAAATTGGTAGCGCGGCCTGGGGTGGCTAAGGCGTCGGTACCGTGTGCAGAGAGCCCTGGACGAGAGTGGGAGACCAGAGTTGCCGTTATGGCTCTGCTGTGAACTTTATTGCCTCAGTCAAGTTGTTTAATCTCCTTGAGCCTCACCTTCTTGTCTGGGAAGTGAATGGATGAAGTTAGAGGATCTTTTAACTTCCTTCTAGTTTTTGTCAAGCTATGCCTCTTATGAATAGTCATATGTTGAATTGGAACAAAGCCAATGTATAAATTCACGATTAATTTAACTTTTCAAATTGAGGTAATTGCCTTCTACCAAAAAGAATTCTAACTTATAATTTATATTTCTATTTTAGGTAAGAACTGCTGAAAAAACAACTGAAAGAATTGGTAAATACACTTATTAAAATAAATATACTTTTAATTTCACTGCCAATTTATTATGGTTGTTATTTATAAGGTGGAAGCCAAAGTTATTCTTTCAAGGTCATCAAGGTATATTTATTTGAGATGAGACTGTTATAAATTTAAGAATTAATGAAGTGCTTATAAATTTAAGTCAGATATTTATATATAAAGATCATTCATACAGATGTTGGACAATTTTTCCAACTTCAGGAGAGCAACTATAGGCTGTCCATCACCATTTCTGTTAAAATCACAGAAGAAAGGGTTAAGGGTATTTTTGTCCTGGGGCTTCTTTCGTAAGCCAGGATCATGAATCCAGTGCTCTAATGTGCTGTCACCATGGTCAGCCCTCACCCACCTGCTTCCTTATCGCATGCCCTCTTTGTGCCTTCTCCAGCTTCTTCACAGAGGGGTATGGTTTGGTTTGTTTACCTCCTGTTACCTCAGAGAGAGGTAGAAGTTTTTTATCACAAAGATTATTTACTCACCGTAGACAGCTTTAAAAACCAGAAAGTGGGCAAAGATATTATGTTAAGCCAAGAAGATAGTGTTATCCCCAATTTTCAGATGAAGAAACAGAGACAAAGAGGTTGAGTGACCTGCCCACAGTTCTGTTACAAAACATCAGTGGAACCAGTACTGTAAACAAGGTCTTCTGAATCATGCGTCGCACTGCACATCTCAGGCTCAACTTAGGCGTCATATTTCAAAAAGAGTAGAAAGTTTAATTTAGAGTATGTCTGGTGATTCCCCACTCCTTATACTCATAGCATCATCTATTGAGTGTCTTAAGGACTGCAAGGCAAAAGAATATTATATATGTTCCTAAAGATGCTTGAGAAGGAGAGCCACTTTGATATTGTTTGATATGGGGTTTGTAATGGACATAAATAATACAATTTAAGAAATCATTTATTCCAGCCTATATTTTTGAAATTATCCAGAAATATTCTATAACATTTCTGGATAATGATCATCCTTACAATGCATACTGTTCTTTTCATGATTAGTGAGATTCTTGTTCTAGTTTAGGGTTAATGTTTTTAAATTCAGATATAATTCATGTAGCAACAATTTCACCCTTATAAAGTGTACACTTTAGTTGTTTTTGCTATATCCACAGGGTTGTGCAACCATCACTACTATTTAATTGCAGAACATTATCATAACCCCAAAAAGAAACCCCATACCCCATTGCCTCTCCCCTCCCCCCACCCCCCGGCACAAATAACCACTAATCTACTTCTGTCTCTGTGGATTTGCCCATTCTGGACATTTCTTATAAATGAAATCATAATATGTGGCCTCAAGGTTCATCCATGTTCTAGTACTCATATATGAGTACTTCATTCTTTTCTATGGTGGAAAAATATTCCTTTGTATGGCTAGTACCACATTTTCTTTATCCATTCATCAGTTGGTGGTCATTTGGCTTGTTTCCACTTTTTGGCTATTGTGAATGATGCTGATGCTGCTATGAACATTCATGTACAAATTTTTGTGTGGACATATATTTTTAATTCTCTTGGGTATATATTTAGGGATGGAACTGCTGGATCATCTGGTAACTCTACGTTTAAACCTTTTGATAAACTGGCAGACAGTTTTGCAAAGTGGCTGTGCCATTTTGTAGTCCCACCAGCAATGTATGAGGGTTCCAGTTTGTCTCTACATCCTTGTTAACAACAAGTGTCTGTTATTGTCTCTCGTTTTATTACAGCCATCTTAGTGGGTGTGAAGTGGTATTTCATTGTGGTTTTGATTTGCATATCCCTGATGGCAAATGATGTTGAGCATCTTTTCATGTGGTTATTAGCCATTTGTATATCTTTGGAGAAAGGTCTCTTCATCTCCTTTGCCCATTTTTTAGCTGGGTTGTCTTTTTATTATTGAGTTGTAAGAGTTCTTATATAGTCTAGTTCTTCATATATATATATATATATATATATATATATATATCCCTTTCAAATATATGTTTTATAAATATTTTCTCCTCTAGGTTTTCTTGTTGGTGTCCTTTGAAGCATATAAGTTTTTAATTTTGATGAAGTCTAATTTATATATTTTTTGTCATCTATGCTTTTGGTGTCATATCTAAGCAACCATTGCATAATCCAAGGTCATCTCTGTTTTCCTGTAACAGTTTTATGGTTTTAGCTCTTACGTTCACCTCTTTGGTGCATTTTGAGGATCATATACATAATACATTGATTTTTGTACATGGTCTTGAGGTAGGAGTCCATTTAATTCTTTTTCATGTGGGTATCCTGTTGTCCCTCCTTTTGGTTTTTACCAAGTTAAGCTTGAGATAACCTGCAGGATATCCAGGTAGGTGGATATTAAAACCTGGAACTCCTCATATAAGTGAGGGTAAAATTGTGGAAGCAGGGAAAGTTTCCAGAGAGATCGTTAAAAAAATAGCATCAATGAGGGCATGGAAGAGAACGACCACCAATGTCTATTTAGGTGGGCAGACGGAGCCAGCAAAACAAACTGAAAAACACAAGTCAGAGATAGTAGAACCACAAAAGAGTGATTGATGTCCAGCTGCCCTCTGGACATCTCCACCTAGAAATCTCAAAAGCAGCTCAAAGTCAGCATCTCTAAAAACCACTCGGGGGCCGGCCTGGTGGTGCAGTGGTTAATTTTGCATGTTCTGCTTCAGCGTTTGCCACTTCGGATCCCGGGTGTGGACCTCTGAGAGAGAAGAAACTGATACATTCAAGGTCACAGACTAGGACTTCCCCCTATTTCCCATGATTTTTTCAAAAAAATTGCTAATGACCCAGTAAATGTATCCACCCTGTAAGTACCTTAGGTTAGTTGTTAATGAATACAACTGATTTGAAAAAGTTCAGATTTTTGAAGGACTTAACCCTTTTCTTACCTGTTTTACCTTGTCTTGCACTATTTCATCATAGTCTTTAAAGCACCTAATCTCCATTCACAGTGCTACAAAATAAATATTCACTGCATTTTCAATTGTAAAATTCTGAAAGTGATCCTTCAGTGCCTAAGTATTTCAAAATCTTTCCAAAGCATCTTCGGTTTGCTGGTTTATTTATTTATTTATTTTTGCTTGCTGCTTGAGTTTTTTTTTCCTAACTGTACTTTGCTCTTGAGTTGTGTTGATGAAGATAATTGTTTAAACTCTTATTTTTCCTTACCAATTTTCATTTCAGATGATACCATCTTCCGCAATCCCATGGTACAAGAAGCTATACGAATGGGATTCAGTTTCAGGGACATTAAGAAAATAATGGAGGAAAAAATTCACACATCTGGGAGCAACTATAGATCACTCGAAATTTTGGTTGCAGATCTAGTGAATGCTCAGAAAGACAATACACAAGATGAATCAAGTCAGACTTCATTGCAGCAAGGTATGCTTGGCTGTTTTTAAAAAGCAAGAAACACCTAACAGCACTTCATTATGGATAGTATCTTATATGACTTTGTGGCCTATTAATTCCTCTCACATCCCCCTTAGGATAAACTTTTTTTTAACTTTTTATTAGGAAAAATTTCAAGCATACTCAAAAATGGAGAGTATAGTATGAACCCTCATGTACTCATCAACCAGCTTCAATAATTATCAACACTTTTCTAATCTCGTTTCATTTCTTCCTCCAACTGTTTTTTGCTGTAGCATTGCAAAGTAAATGCCAGATATCCTATATATCATTTACATATAAATACTTCAATAGATATCTAACAGATAAGGACTTTTTTTAAAAACATAACCATAATACTGTGTGTGAGTCTGCTCAGACTGCTATAAAAGAATACCATAGACTGAGTGGCTTAAACAATAGACATTTATTTCTCACAGTTCTGGGAGCTGGAAGTTCAAGATCAAGGTGCTGGCAGATTTCATGGCTGCCTTCCCTCTGTGTCCTCATGTGGCTAAGAGAGAACACTCTAGTGTCTCTTCCTCTTCTTATAAAGACTGATCCTATCATGGTGGGTCCCACTCTCATGACCTTATCTAAACCTCATTGTCTCCCAAAGGCCCCATCTCCAAGTACCATCACATTGGGGGTTAGGGCTTTAACATGTGAACTGGGGGGAGACGTAGACATTTAGTCCGTAACATACTGTTATCACATTTAACAAAATTAACAGTAATTCCATAATGTCATCTGAAACTAAATTGGTTTTAATTTTCCCCATTGTCTTAAAATGTTTTCACAGTTGATTTGTTCTAATCAGGATCCAAGTAAGATTCAGTGATCCATTAATTTTAAAAGTGTGTGTTTATGCTCTGTTTTAGATAAAGAACAACAAAGGCTAACTTTTATCATTGTGTATAGAAGCTATAAGTTTTGTAATTGAAACTGTTTGGATTTAGAGTGTTCTGCAACTTTTCATATGATGTAAATATATAAAGGGTCATATTACTAAATAGAGGTTGAATGGATGGCACCCTATTACTGTAAATCATATATACAAAGAGTATTAAATAATGTAGAAGAGAAGCATATAAACTCCTTTTAGGAAAAAAGATCAAAAATCCAAGTTTCTCCTTTAAGGATGATAGCTATTATAGTGCTTGCCAGCATCATTGAAAGTTAAAGAAAAGGTTTCAAACTGAATACATTTTGGGGTACTTTATTATAGTCATTGTTCTCTCAGCTCTCTCCCAAAAGATGAGAATTTTCCTAGTGCTAATGAACCTAAAAGTTTACTTGCTTTTTTTGTGCGTGTGTGTTTGAGGAGGATTCGCCCTGAGCTAACATCCAATGGCAATCTTCCTCTTTGTTTTGTTTTTTTTTTGGCTTGAGGAAGACTAGCCCTGAGCTAACGTCTCTGCCATTCTTCCTCTACTTTGTATGTGCGATGCCTCCACCGCAGGCTGACAAGCAGAGTAGGCCCACGCACAGGATCTGAACTCATGAACCTGGGCCCCCAAAGTGGACTCGGAACTTTAACCACTGGGCCACAGGGCTGGCCCCTACGTACTTTTTTTTGACATTAAAGATCCTTTTGATCTTTAAGTTATTTCAGAAGCTTTTGAAACATTATTCACATAATTACATAAGTCATAAAACACTACAATAGTAATGATTTTTGAAATTATATCAGTTGATGTAAAAGATTCAGCAGAAAGCTTACTACTCTTTTCCTAAAGATGCATTTATTCAAAGCCTACAATAGCTCCACTTGTCTTGGTGATGGTAAAATAAACCACCATTGACTTGGTCATCTTTTTACTGCAAAAGAAATACATACACGTCATTGTGTTGTTCTTTTCTGCGTCTTAACCACAACTCAAGCTTAATTAAGTTTAACAGTAAGGTGTTAGTTTTTATACCTGAAAGTGTTGTCTGCAACAGAAGGATTTAGTGGGTTGCAGTAGAAGAGAACGAGGGACAGAGTGCATGGTGGTGCGGGGGCCGGAGGGGATGGTCTGTTCTTTATGCAGCAGGAGTCAGTGGGGGTTAGTACCACTGAAACTACAAGCTAGGATGGTGTGGGAAGGAGAGCCTAAGCAAATAGCAGCTCTCAGGGGCTGGGATTGGAATTCATCAGTTGACCTCTCCTTAGTCTCAGTAAATTGAGAGGAGGTTAATTGATATAGGCTATCTTCTTATGCTGGGGCTGCTGCCTGTTTCTCTTCCCAAAGGCTGATGAGGAAAGACTGGCACTAAGAATCTTTTAATTCTATACAAAATAGAGGGTGGACCCAACTAAAGTAAAGCAGGTGAGAGTTATTAGGAAAAGCACGTTATTGTTGCTTACTGAGAAATCCTAGATTCAATACTAGCTTTCATCCCAATGGCTGTGTGACAAAGAATGCCCCAGGAAACAGTCTTCTAAACATAGTACCAAATCATTATCTTTTTTCTTTCTTTTTAAAAGTTACATAGTATGATATAAAGCCCTTTACTTCATGTATGTACTAAAGCACTTATTTTAATCCATTTGTGTATATAACTGTACATAATATAAAAATCAAATAATCCATACACATTTCTTATCAGTCTCTCTTTCCACATGGATCTGCTCTGATAGTAAAATGAATAACATCAATTTATTCTCAAAGTGGTTTAAAATAATTTAGTAAAAATATTAGCAAATAACATCAAAAGTTATCTAGCTGTTGCCTTTATTGCTCATGTGCCAGGAATCTCCTGACCTGGAAAAGGGCTTTGTAGGAAGAAAAAGGGGAGAGGTGCCAGAGGGAAGGAATAGAAGCCAATAGTTACTTTTTAAAAAAATTATTTTACTGAGGCCATAGTGGTTTATAACATTATGTAAATTTCAGGTGTACATCATTATGTTTCAGCTTCTGTATAGACTGCATCGGGTTCCCCACCAAAAGTCTAGTTTTCATCCGTCACCATACACATGTGCCCTTTACCCCTTTTGCCCTCCCCCCACCCCCTGCCCTTCAGGTAACTACCAGTCTGTTCTCCCTATCCATATGTGTATGTTTGTTTATCTTCCACATATGAGTGAAGTCATACGGTATTTGTCTTTCTCTATATGACTTATTTTGCTTAGCATAATACCCGCAGGGTCCATCCATGTTGTCACAAATGGTACGATTTTGTCTTTTTATGGCTGAGTAGTATTCCATTGTGTATATATACTTTATTTTCTTTGTCCATTCATCCATTGTTGGGCACTTAGGTTGCTTCCAAGTCTTGGCTATTGTGAATAATGCTGCAATGAACATAGGGGTGCATGTATCTTTTCAAATTAGTGTTTTCATGTTCTTTGGATAAATACCCAGGAGTGGAATAGCTAGATCATATGGTGTTTCTATTTTTAATTTTTTGAGAAATCTCCATACTGTTTTGCATAGTGCAATAGTTACTTTTTTTTTAAGATTTTTTTTTCCTTTTTCTCCCCAAAGCCCCCCAGTACATAGTTGTATATTCTTCGTTGTGGGTCCTTCTAGTTGTGGCATGTGGGATGCCGCCTCACCGTGGCCTGATGAGTGGTGCCATGTCCGTGCCCAGGATTCAAACCAACGAAACACTGGGCCGCCTGCAGCAGGGCGCGCGAACTTAACCACTCGGCCACTGGGCCAGCCCCGCAATAGTTACTTTTAAGGCTAGAGTGAAGTAATTGCCAGAGGTCAACTCATGGTCTGGAAAACAAAATCCGTGCCCAGAGCATCACCATCTCAAGTAAGTGTCTGTATGCAAGGCTGAAATAAGTAAGGTAGGAAAAGTAGAGTTGATATCAACGTTTGGTAGGCATGGAGTTTCATTCCATTGTGAGCTGTAAAATGGAATCACAAACAATCAGAACCAAGAGCAACCTTAAAGCTCATATAACAACTTTCATGGTTCAGTGAGAAAACTGCAGTACAGATGTGCTGTGGCCTAAGATCACTCAGGTAGTTGGGAGCAAAATTCAAGTTTCTTGACTTCTGGTCCGGTGTTCCTTTTTTTTTTTTAATTGAAAAAAAATGTGGTAAAATCCGCATAACATAAAATTTACTATCTTAAGCATTTTTAAGTGTACCTTTCAGTAGTGTTAAGTACATTCACATTGTTGTGCAACCGATCTCCAGAGCTCTTTTCATCTATAAAACGGAAACTGCCCAGTAAACAATTCCCTGTCTCCCTTCCCCCCAGCCCCTGGCAGCCACCATTCTGCTTTTTGTCTCTATAAATTTGACTACTCTGGGTCTCTGGCCCAGTGTTCTTTTTCACTCATTGCAGCATCACATCCAAAAGTAATGTGTAAATTACTTAATTGTTTCTTCCTGTTGATTTTTTCCTTTTTGAGTTGTAAATCTACTTTTAATACTTTGAGGTGACAGCAAGGGAGACAATACAAAAAATGAACAAATGGGACTACATCAAAATAAAAATCTTATGCACAGCAAAGGAAACCATCAACAAAACGAAAAGACAGCCTAACAATTGGGAGAAGATATGTGCAAACCATATATCCGATAAAGGGTTAATATCCAAACTATATAAAGAATTCATTCATCTCGGGGCTGGCCCAGTGGCGCAGTAGTTAAGTGCACACGTTCCGCTTTGGCGGCCTAGGGTTCGCTGGTTCGGATCCTGAGTGCGGACATGGCACTGCTTGGCAAGCCATGCTGTGGTATGGATCTCACATATAACAGTAGAGGAAGATGGGCACGGATGTTAGCTCAGGGCCAGGCTTTCTCAGCCAAAAGAAGAGGATTGGCAGATGTTAGCTCAGGGCTAGTCTTCCTCAAACAAAAAAAAGGGAATTCATTCATCTCAACAAGAAAAAAATCTAACAACCCAATTAAAAAATGGGCAGAAGATCTGAACAGACATTTTTCCAGAGAAGATATACAGATGGCCAACAGGCACATGAAAAGAGTTCAGCAAATGCAAATCAAAACTACAATGAGATACCACCTCACTCCTGTCAGAATGGCTATAATTAACAAGACAGGAAACATTTAGTGTTGGAGAGGATGTGGAGAGAAGGGAACCCTCATACACTGCTGCTGGGAGTGCAAACTGGTGCAGCCACTATGGAAAACAGTATGGAGATTTCTTGAAAAATTAAGAATAGAACTACCATATGATCCTGCTATTCCACTGCTGGGTATTTATCCAAAGAACCTGAAAACACCAATCTATAAATATACATGCACCCCTATGTTCACTGCAGCATTAGACACAATAGCCAAGACTTGGAAGCAACCTAGGTGCTGTGGCCATCAAGGGACGAATGGATAAAGAAGATGTGGTATATATACACAATGGAATACTACTCAGCCTTAAGAAAATGAAATCTGGCCATTTGTGACAGCATGGATGGACCTTGAGGCTATTAGGCTAAGTGAAATAAGTCAGAGGGAGAAAGTCAAATACCACATGATCTCACTCATAAATAGAAGATAAAAACAACGACAAACAGACACATAGAGACAGAGATTGGATTGGTGGTTACCAGAGGGGAATGGGGAGGAAGGGGGTGAAAGGGGTGGTAAGGCACAGATGTACAGTGACATATGGTAATTAGTCTTTGGGTGATGAACATGACGTAATCTGCACAGAATTCAAAATAGAATGATCTACACTTGAAATTTATATGTTATAAACCAATGTTATCTCAATAAAAAATAATAAAATAAAAAAATATTTGGGGGTGAGCCCCACAGGAATAAAAAACACTGGGAAAGGGTAACCCCCTCACTCCCAGGAGTGGTCCAGGGGGAGAGGGGCTCCCTGAGGGGAAGGAAGCACAAAAGGGACCCACCGCAGACTCAGGGCAAAGGGAATGCCATCGGTGTTGGGAGCTGTGAGCCCTACGGGAGGAAATTCGAGCCTGGTGGGACTGGCTCCAGGCACAGGGGCAAAGCGCAAGAGGGTTGAACACAAAGCTACTTGGGTTCCTCCTCCTTGTTTGCCTTTTTCTGCTTCTGTATGATCTCCGAGTCCCCCTGCTTGCGGGCTGCCGCAGAAAGCCCATCATCTCAGTGCTGTCCCTTAACCAGGTCACTCTCCTTTTTCATATTCTTCTGACGGGTGAGCTCACACCAGTTGCTGTGTGTTACGGCAGCGGCATGAGCATACACTTCATTCTGACGTTTTTGGTCAGATGCTTTCATATAACAGATCAGTTTATAATGCTATCCCTTTAGTTACTGTTGTTTCTCCTGCCCCAAATGCCTTTTCCCTGTCTGTATACCTAGTCTTATTCCCCACTCCACCCCCAATTCCCTAAATCCATCTTGTGAACTCATCCTTCAAGGCTCAGCTCAGAGATCACTTCTTTGAAGTTTTACCCAATACTCATAGCAGAGTTCGGAGCTCCCTCTTCTCTCTCCTGACTGTTAGAGCATTTGTAGCATTATTTTGGAACTGTTTTCTGTCTTGCCCATTAGACAAGCTTCTTAAAGGCGGGTGCTGTATTTTTTTTTAATTTCTGATATGTTCCATGTTTGAGCGTAGAGCTTTGATTATGCCCAGGAAGTTGCCTTTTAAGAAAAAGATTAAATAATCCTTTCCCCCACCCCTAGCCAGGGAAACCTTTCTGAAGCACAAATCTGACCATCTCCAGGTTAAATCCCTTCATTGGCTCCCAGGGCCCTTGGGATCGAGTCCAGACTCCTTTCCATGGGTTGCCAAGTCTTTCACCATCGGGCTCCTGCTAACTTTCTATAGCCTCATCGCATGCTATTTCCCCGTCAGATTCTATATCCAAGCCGTAACCTGTGCACTTGCAGGTCTAGTTCTGTTTCTCCTCATGGAGTCTGCTCATGCCATTTTCTCTGCCCAGAGCCCTCTTCTCCCACTGCCCCTGTTCCCCAAGACCTTCTCCTTCTCCTAGTTAACTCCTACTCATCCTTTGGGATCCAGTTTAGGTATAATTTCCTCCAGGAGGCCTTCCCTTTATGTGTGTGTACACATATACTTGCACAGACTTACTCCCTTCCTGTGTTCTTCGTAACACATTGTAATTACCTTTATCCTCACGCTGTATTATAATTTCCTGTCTACTTGTGTTCCTTGTCTATGAACAATTGAGGGCCTGGGGTCTATATATTTGTTAATTGTTCTATCTCTAGTGCCTAGAACCTAATTAAGTGTTCAGTAAGTACTTGTTGAATAAAATTAAAGCACTATTTCCCAACCTTGTTTTCAGAATAGTGTTCCCTGGGATGTTAAAAGGGGTGCCACGAGAAAGGAGTTCTGTAGTTAAATAGGGAAATGCATTGTGAATTTCTAAGAGAGGTTGTACACCATATTATACTGCCCTGAACTTGATAGCAGGGGTTCCCAAATGCCCGTGTGCTCGACCCCAGAAATTTCAGATTCATTGAATGGGGCCCAGAAATCTATTGTTTAAAAAAAAATGCCTCGAGTGATTCTCAGTTGAGGCCAGATTTGGAAACCACTGGTATACAGTGATTGCAAAGATGGTGAAAACGTGATGTGTTTGGAACGGTGCCTAGCACACAGCAGTAAGTGCTGTGTTACTGGGAACTGCTGCTGCTGCTGTTACGGTTCTGTATGACCACAAAACACATTTTTGTGGCATATTTGTTAACATTTCACAAAACCTAGTTTGGGAAAGGCTAAATTAAGCAAGTACTTCAGTGCCACCTATATACCGATGACGCTCAAATGTCTATTTCTAGCCCTGACTTCCCCTGACAAGACTTGACTCTCCAGTTGCCTACTGGACATTTTTATGTGGATGCCCTACAGACACTTCAAAAGCATCTTGAAAATCCCAAACCTGTACCTCCTTTTGTATTTCTTACTGGCATCACCATCCCCTTGTCAGCCATGCTAGAAATCTTGAAATCAACTATTTTCTCTTTCTTCCTCACCCCTCACATCCAGTCAGTCACCAAGTCCTACCTGTCCCACTTGAGAAGTGTCCCTCAAATCCATTCCTGAAATAGGCCATGCCCTTTCCATATGCTGTTTTTTTTTTTACCTAACCCTTGCTTCTCTGCCTGGCAAATCGCTGGCCATGTTTAAATGTCACTCCTCCACTTTCCCCCCGCCCCCTCCAGCAGCCGCCAAACTGTGAAGCCCTCCCCAACTAGTCTGAACAGAAGAACTTGTTCTTTCGTCTTGTCCCAGAGCGCTTTGTACGTAACTTTATGATAGCACTTAGCGCTTTGTACTTTGTGCTTACCTGCATAGCCTCAGCTCACATCCTTCTCTCCCACTAGTGCGCGAGCTACTTAAAAGCAGATGCCACGTGTGAGTGAGTCATCCTCTGCCAACACTTGATTAATGCCCGACACACAGTAGGGTTCAAATTATGTCAGTGAATTTCGACAGGTAAGAAAGTCTAAAATTAACACATTTCTTTTCTCTTTGTGCAGAGATTAGTGCTGAAGAGCAGCTAAGGCTCCTGCAAGAGGAGAAGCTTTGCAAAATCTGCATGGATAGAAATATTGCTGTAGTTTTTATTCCTTGTGGACATCTGGTCACTTGTAAACAATGTGCTGAAGCAGTTGACAAATGTCCCATGTGCAACACAGTCATTACTTTCAAGCAAAAAATTTTTATGTCTTAATCTAACTCTACAGTAGGCGTGTTATGTTCTTATGACCCTGATTGAATGTGTGATGTGAACTGACTTTAAGTAATCAGCATTGAATTCCATTAGCATTTGCTACCAAGTAGAAAAAAGTGTAAACTGCAGTGTTATAGATGGCAATCTAAAATTTGAATTTCTGGATTTTTCAGGATATTAGCTGTGTTATCTATCCTTTTTTTTTTTTTTTTTTTTACTGTTATTTAATTGAAACTAGACTAAGGAGCATCCTGTTATAACTGATCACAATGTGTATTTGTCGTAGACTCACTTAGTTTCTACGTGTCAATGGATTAATGAACTGAATTTTTCATTCTTTTCAGATAGGCTTAACAAATGGAGCATTCTGTTTAAATGTGGAGATTAGAGTTAATCTCCCCAATCATATAATTTGTTTTGTGTGAAAAAGGAATGAACTGTTCCACACTGGTGAAAAGATAGAGATTATTTTTAGATGTTTGTCTTTGTGTTTTAGGATTCTGTCCATTTTCTTTTAAAATTATACACATGTACTGGGTAGATGATTTTTTAAAAAATGATTTTGCCATTGCTAAAAGGATGTTTAATGATAGAATACCATCTAGCCTACATGTACTGATACAGAAAGATTTCAAAGATATGTTAAGTATAAAATGCAAGTGGCAAAACACTATGTATAGAATGAGCCAAATGAAGGCATGTGTGTTTTGTGTGTGTATGTATAGGACAAAAGATTTGGAAAGATACGCTCCAAACTGTTAAATGTGGTTTCTTTTGGGGGGGGGGATGGGTCCCAGTGGGGGTTTACAGGGGCCTTTCACTTTCTGGTTTTTTTTTTTTTTTTCATTTTATTCTGTTTGAATTTTTTGTAAGTATGTATTACTTTTGTAATCAGAATTTTTAGAAAGTGTTGTACTGATTTAAAGGCTTAGGCATGTTCAAACGCCTGCAAAACTACTTATTGCTCAGCTTTAGTTTTTCTAATCCAAGAAGGCAGGGCAGTTAACCTTTTTGGTGCCAATGTGAAATTTAAATGTTTATATGTTTTTCCTGCTTTGTGGATGAAAAATATTTCTGAGTGGTAGTTTTCTGACAGGTAGACCATGTCTTCTTCTCTTGTTTCAAAATAAATATTCCTGATTTTGTAAAATGAAATATAAAATATGTCTCAGATCTTCCAATTAATTAGTAAGGATTCATCTTTAATCCTTGCTAGTTTAAGCCTGCCTAAGTCACTTTACTAAAAGATCTTTGTTAACCCAGTATTTTAAACATCTGTCCGCTTACGTAGGTGAAAGTAGACGCGTGTTTGTACACTGCTCGTAGTTCTAGTGACGGCTTTCCATGTTGAGATTCTCATATCGTCTTATGTCTTAAAGTTTCGTGTGAGTTTTTACCGTTAGGATGATTAAGATGTATATAGGACAAAATACTGAGTCTTTCCTCCACCTAACTGTTTTTGTTTTCTTGACTAGTATTAGTAAGAGAGAACTTCTGAAATAAATGTTCTCTCAAGATCCTTACAAACCTCTTGGAAATTATAAAATATTGCCAAGAAAAGAAGAATAGTTGTTTGAATATTAAAGAGAAAATAAAACTTAAGAATCAATGTAGATAAAAAATGGAAGTTGAAAAATGCTTCATAGAACACCCAAGCTTTACGGTACAAGATTCTCACACGACCTGTTGTAGCAGTGAGTGAGACACTTTACTGCAGAGAAAAGTTTGAGAGTAAAACTGTAAAAATTATATTTTCGCTGTATTTTCTAAGAGAAAGAGTATTGTCATGTTCTCCTAATCTCTGTTGATTACTACTTTAAGTGATATTCATTTAAAGCCTTGCAAATTTAAATAAGAAGTTTTTAAATTAAATAATGGCTGCCCTGTTGTTGTTTTACTGTGTAAATCCTCAGTTCTTTACCTTTGCACTGTGTTCCACTTAGATTTAGTCATAGATTCATTGTTAGATTTTACATGTTTAGTCTAAGCTTTAAATTTAAATTACAAGGGGAGAAAAGTGTTAAAGTTTTTAAAATGTGTTTTCCAGGACACGCCAGCTCCAAGTGAGGGAGGCAGTTCGATCTAGTTGTTGGCCGAGGACTGAATTGTTTTAACATAAGGCTTTTCCTGTTCTGGGAGCCTCAGTTCATTAAAACTTTTGAAGAACTTGCATGTTTAGAGTTAAGCAAGACTTTTTTTCTCCCCATGAGTTGTGAAATTTAGTGCATGAGGCTGATGTGGCTAACAAGTTTATTTTAAGAATTGTTTAGAAATGCTCTTGCCTTCAGGTCCTTAAATCACTCAGCACTCCAACTTCTAATCAAATTTTTTAAGACTTAGCAATGTTTGTCTGTGTTCGCACTATAAAAAGCACTGGATCCTTCCCACGTAATTGTGCAAAAAGTAATCACTTGCAAGGTCAGACAGAAGTAGAACCAGATCCAAATCTCTGCCTCTCCCCTTCCCAAAATAGTTGCAGTATCTACATATAGACATTCCTTTTCTGTGTAAAGTGCACTCTAAGATTTCAAAGTCACCACCTATTTTACTACATTTTAGTCACGTGAAGGGTCAAATTGTTTTGTAATAGTTATCTTTATTCGTAAGAATTTGGTGTCCTTGTGTTAATTTTTGAGAAATGGGTTTAATGTTTATAAGATAAATTCCAGTTTATTAGTGAAGGGCTGTATATTGCCTTTCTTGATAGATTTTTCCCCCTTCGGTTAGGGGCAAAGATGGGGCAGGGTGGATGTAGTGAGTGTATATAATGTGATTTGGCCCTGTGTATTATGATCTTTTGTTGTTATTTAAATTTTGGTAGGTTTTTTCCTCTTTTCGTTTTAGTGGATAAAATTTGTAGTTTGAACTCTGAATGGAGACTACCACCACGGCATTACTTGCGTGTATTGTACCATTTTAGACACAAATCAGTGTTTTCTGATTAGCCAGGTATTGAATGGAGAAGAGGGATGGAGTGGTGGGAGAAATGGGATGTGTCGTGTATCATTTCCATTAGAAGTTATGAGAGTTCAAGGAGACCATGTATGTAAAATACTTGCTATAAATGTTAATTCCCTAACACTCTTTTACCCTCCATGGGTCTACCTTGATTTTGGAAATTTGGGCTAAGACTTAGGGGATAACTCTTTCAGTGACTCTTACTCATCCTTTTTGGTGTTTCTCATAGTTAAGATGTAAACTGCAATAAATGGATAGGTCAAGCCCTTAAATGTGTTTAAATTCCTTTTTTAAAAACTTGAAAAAATTATTCTTATCAAGTTTAGTTGAGCTTTCCTAATAGAAACAATTGACTTATTCCTACGTTTATAATTGCTTTCAATTTGACTCTTAGACGCTTATTAGCACAGTGTGAATTTTATTTGCAGCATAATGGAATCATAGGGTCTCAGAGCTAGAAGTGACCTTAGAGAGTATCTAATTCATCCCCCTCCTTTTTCAGATGAGGCAACTGAGGCTCCGAGGTGAAGTGATTTGTTCAAAGCTGTGTAGCTAGTTAGTGGCACCCCATATTGGGACATGGTTTGAAGGTGAAAAACTTGAGCTCTCTCCTGGGAGGTCTCAAATGTTTATTTTTTTCAACTATTCTTTCCCCTATGCCATGGATTTCACTACATATTAAATGACACTTTATAACTAATACAGTAGGACAATCTTAAATCCATATATCTTCAAATTGTACAATACTACATTAATGTTTGGGTGGTAAGATTCTATTTTGAAGTCTAAAGTTTGCAGGTATGCATATAGATTTTTTGGCATTTACTAGATCCTTATTGTATATCATTAATGTAACATTTAAACTTACTATATAAGTATATTTTGTCATTTTGTCTATACTTAGTAACAAATATGCATTTTTGATTTGATGTAACAAAGGCTTTAATGTAATTTCTGTTAGAAAATTTTGCATTTTTCATATTACTGTTATACTTTATCTAACCTGACAGAATGGCTGATTTTTATGTCATTGTATTAGTGTTGTGAATAATTGTGTGAAATATTTTCAGATAGACTACTATATTTGTGAATATAATTTTACGGCTTTTTTCATTTAGTAGAAATCTTTCCATCAGTATGGAAAACTAAGAAAACTGCTTTCTACTGTATAATCTGGCAGTCATCATAGATTAAAGCTTATTTTTCTGTGAATAAAACTTATTCAATAAAGTACTATTCTTTAAAATGATATCTTATTACTTTGTATTTGTTTCACTTTCTCAGAAAAAATAAAATAGCCCTCTTGAAATACTAAAACGTAACCTCCTACATATATCTTACGCCGTGGAGCCAGGCATAAAGTACACATCAAGTCATTTAAAAAAAAAAAAGACATCTGTCTTCACGTTAACTTATAGAATTCTGTAAGTGTGTGAAAAGTCAAGTTTTAAAATGTATAAAAATATGAACCATAGTAACACCCTCCTTCCCACAAAGATCGGCCTGGTTGTCCCAAGAGATACTATAGTCACCATAACAAAGCTTGAACAAGCAAGGGAGGGACCTAAAAGCCACTGCCCCTTTGAGGCAGACAGCAGAGAAGGATTTTTGTGAGTCGAGAGGCAGCTGCCCAGAGAGTATCCAAAGCTGCAAGCAATCTGGTGGGATAAAGACTGAGGAAATAAAGGATCCTTAAAGGAAGAGCGAAATTAGAAGTAGGTATTTCAAGTGACCATTTTCCCTACCCCTTCCTGCCTACTTCCCAAATGGAGAGCTGTGTTTCAGGCCTAGTCTGCATAGTTACTGCTGATTGACTCCTTCACTATGTTATCACTGTTACCCGAGTTATACCGTAAGAACCTTGTTTTAAATGCAGCCCACATTTTCTCCTGCATTCTCAAGTATACTTTCAATGAATATTGATGAAGATGTGGATTTTCAAAGCTGTTACAGAAATTTTCAGATTTACACAGAAGTAGAAGGAAAGTATAATGAACCCCATGGTTCATCATTCAGCTTCAACAGGTTATCAACATTTTGCCAATCTTGTTTCCTCCAGGACTCCCCCTCCCTTTTTTTTGCTGGCATATTCTAGAGCAAATCTAGACCTGTCGTTTCTCCTGTGATTACCTCATTATGTACCTACACAAGATAAGGACTTTTTTTTACATAAATGTGTGAATTTTTAAGTTACCACTATTATTGCTGAATTGTAATGAACATCTAAAGAATTAAAATCAACTTTATTCCCTCTTTTCCCATATTTGAGAATTAAGGTAAACACCCTCAAAACTGATATTATCATTTTTTTTTTGAGCAAGATTAGCCCTGAGTTGAAATCTGCAAATCCTCCCATTTTTCCTGAGGAAGCCTGGCCCTGAGCTCACATCCATGCCCATCTTCCTCCACTTTATATGTGGGACGCCTACCACAGCATGGCTTGCCAAGTGGTGCCATGTCTGCACCCGGGATCTGAACCGGTGAACCCTGGGCCGCTGAAGCAGAACGTGTGCACTTAACCCTGCACCACCGGGCTGGCCCTGATATTACCATTTTTAAAATACTTTTAGACCACATTCTCCCTATTTCAGTTGTAGTTTGCTTATCGATTGTAGAAGAAATGTGGTACTTATTAAAAGTTAAGCTAACTGCGTGGTGTATGAATACCTAATTGTTCTTTTTTTTTCTTTTAATTTTGTGTGTGTGTGTGTGTGTGTTTGTGCGAGGAAGATTGGCCCTGAGCTAACATCTGTTGCGAATCTTCCCCTTTTTGCTTGAAGAAGATTGTCCCTGAGCTAACGTCTCTGCCAATCCTCTCTATTTTGTATGTGGGACACCACCAGAGCATGGCTTGATGAGTGGTGTGTAGGTCCACGCCTGGGATCCAAACCCACAAACCCCAGGCCACTGAAGCAGAGCACTAGTGTGTGAACTTAACCACTGATAGCATGGGGCTGGCCGGCCCTACCTAGTGGTTCTCAGAGTGTGGTCTCCAGACCAATAGCATCTGCACCACCTGGGAACTTGTTAGAAATGCAAATTATTGGGCCGCACCTCAAACCTACTGAATCAGAAACTCGGGTATGACCCAGCAATCTGTGTTTTAACAAGCCCTCTAGGTGGTTCTGATGGAGCTAAGGTTTGAAAACCACTAACATGGAACAGGATCTGCACCCAGAAAAAACGAAATGGCTGAAACCTGTAAAGCAAATTGTAGCTCTTTGTAAATAACTGTCCTCCTCACCTTTCTTTTCCTCATAACTCGTTGCTGATCCAGTCCTGTATTTTCTTCTGTTACCAAAATGCGAAGGCATAAAATGCAACATCTTGAAAGTCCCTTCTGATTCTACTTTCCAACAAAACTTTCTTGTATACAGTACTCTGAATTTTGTAATGAGACTCAATCTTCAGCCCTTCCACTGCTAAGTTCAGAGTAGCCCCACAGCTCAGTGCCGTTAAACTATCCTCCAATCAAGCAATGAAAGAGTTAAGTTATTTGAAGACTCACTCACTAGTGCCAGTGCGGCAGCTATCAGTTGAAATTGTGCAGAACAGACCTGCACTTCTAGAAAGAGCCAAAGCTTCAGTGAAATGTGGGCGGTTAATCTACGATGACAGAATTTAAGAGTTGGAAGGGGTCAGTCTCTAATTCATAATAACTAGCAGTTCTGGATTATTTTTCAGGTCTGAAATTTTTAAAGTAACTGTGGCACAAAAGAACCAAGAAAGCTCGCTTAGGTCTCTAAAGGCCTTCAGAGTTGCATAAATCCACCCTCATAGGTCAATATTGGTCTCTAACTAACCAAACTAAAAATCTTAAGGTAGGTAAGGCTAGATGAAAATTAGTAGACTTAGTTTTCTTTTCTTTTCCCCCAAACCACTAATTTGCTTATAACAAATACTTCCATAACCTAGCCATTTGGCTTTGTATAGATTTGGTCTGCTTATCGTTTTTTTTTTAAAGATTTTTTTTTTTCCTTTTTCTCCCCAAAGCCCCCCAGTGCATAGTTGTATATTCTTAGTTGTAGGTCCTTCTAGTTGTGGCATGTGGGATGCTGCCTCAGCGTGGTTTGATGAGTGGTACCATGTCTGCACCCAGGATTTGAACCAACGAAACGCTGGGCCGCCTGCAGCGGAGCGCGAGAACTTAACCACTCGGCCACGGGGCCAGCTCCAGGTCTGCTTATAGTTTTGTTCCCAATCTTAATCTGTTTAATTTGAGATTTCAAGGCCCTATATGCACTATAATTAATGATGACAGCATAAGAAATCTTTTGTATGGGCCTGTACTTGTTAACTTTAGGCTTATGAATAAATATTAGAAGAATACTAGTTCAAAACATGTAAAGAATAAGAACCCAAAAGGAACCAAACTTCATTTCCCCGTTTTACTTTCCCAGAATTTAAATTTGCAAAATAAACAAGACTAGGTTATAATTAATTGAGGTAATAGTATTTAAACAATGATCTTGCTTCAAAATCTAATTCTCGTTTCAATAAACTTCACTGTTTCAAAAATATATTTTACATACAAAATTATGTCCATTCGTTACATAAACTTTTGAGAGTTAAGTCTGTGCATTGTGTTTCTTTAGCTTTATTCGGTTACTAGGTACTAGGGATTTCTTTTTAATTCCGTTGGCTTATATAAGGGGCTTTGCATTTTTGGCTAAAGCATCAAAAATGTATTTTCTCATTAAATATTGGAATTTTGTTTGGCAGAGATTAGGCTCTACTTCTGCCAGATGACTGACAATTGTACTAGGGAAAAAGAACACACAAGTATGTTCATGAACACTTGCCGATATTTCCAAGGAACTCGTGTTAGAAACAAAAGACGCTAAATCTCCTCCCATAAAATTAATCTGGAGAAAAACTTGCTAAACATCATTTTATTTTTCATGAAACAAACATTGCTCATGGATTTCCTAGTAAAAATTTAACAAAGGCCTGGGTTAATCATTAAGAGACTAGCCTAACTCATCTGGAAAAACTTGTTTTTCTTGCAACTAGATTTTTTTATTTGTTTGTTATTTGATTACTAAAAAGAATGTACTCTGCTGTACTTATGCTTTTCTGGGTTTTCTACTGTAAACTTCGGATACATTATATTTTCATGTGATCTATAAGAATTAAGCAAAAAGACATTTTACATACGAGTTGTAAATCAATATTTGGTCAGTTATACAAAATGAAATGTAACAAAAATATTAACACATTGGGATAATAATCCCTACTCCGCCTGCCTCAGAGGACTGTTGCAAGGATCACATGAATAAATGTACATGAAAGAGCTTCAGAAACTATAAACCTGTATGAGCCCAAGGAATCATTCCTCTAATTAGAGTGTACTGGGCTAATTATGGGTTAGTTTCACACGAAACGAAATAGTCATGGACCAGTGTCTGATTAATCAGGGATATATAGTGATAAAATTCTTTTATGCAGTTTCTTAGCCACTTCCATGACTCAAAAACCTTTACATACATGATCTCTTTGTCTTCCAGTCTCTACACGGTTACTCCTTGTGTTTAAATCAGAAGCACATGGGTAATGGCACAGAGGTAATTGGAGAAATTGTTGCTGTGTACAGTTGTGGAAATTGTGTTCATGAACCCTGCCTTTCAAGTGGCCCTCCAATAGATTTACTTGGGCAGTCAGGTCAGCTCTGTTTTCTAACATGTGAAAATAAGAATATATAAAACAGATGAATTTAGGAACGATAAAATAATTGGTCTGGTACCCCTGCACTATGCCATTGTGTCTCTCATTCATTATATTCCTAGCATCTCTGTAATTTACAGCTGAGGAACCCCAGACATAGAGGTTATGTGATTCACCTAAATCATATGGTGAGTCACCAGTCAAGCTGTTCTTATAGGCAGTGAAAATGTTTCTAGCTAATTTTTGGCATGAATTAGCTAAATTGGCTGCCTCACCGTCTGAACTTAGAATATGTATGTCCAAATCCAGGCTCTTTTTTGGACGACAAGACCTGGCTGGCCATACGATACCAAACCACAAAACCAAATAGAAGTAATAAATAGGTATATGTGGTCCTTAGCATGTCTATTCAACTAGAATTGAAAAATTAAAGTCATTCTGAAAAACCAAAATTTATAACTATGTTCCTGATCTCAGGAATTTGGAAACGGGAAAGGGAACTTTTCACTACATCACCGAGGCAAACCTTGGAGGTCAGGAACCGGGTCTCCCTAAGCACTGTTTCCAATGACTAGCAAGCTGCTT